GGACTAGGAAAGCGTAATCCCAACGGCCTACTCCTCCTCAGCAAGTGTGCTGCACACAACCTCACTATCACCAATACCTTGTTTAGGCAGGCCCACAAGTTCAAGGGTTCGTGGCAACACCGACGATCCAGACACTGGCATCTCATTGACTACATTATTGTCAGAGAAAGAGATCGCCGCTTGTCCTCATCATCTGTGCTATGCGTGGCTCACACCACTGCGACACTGACCAACGGCTCTTCAAAGCCAAGTTCTCACTTCACCTCGCCCAAAACGGCGAAGGCAGCAAGCCTCTAGAAAAGAGTTTAACACAAAATGTCTAGAGGATCAAGCGGTAGCACATGCTTTCAAATAACAGCTCGAACATGGGCTGATGAACAACCCAAGAGCAAACAACGCAAATCCTTGTGCCAGATCGAAAGAATACACCAGGACTGGTTTGAGGAAAATCACCAGTCAATCAATGTACTCAGCGATGATAAACGTGCTGCTTTAACTGACTGGCAGAAACAACCCTCAGTCTTGGACCAAAGCTGATACCTTCTTCAAGAAGAAAGCTGTGGCCCAGCGGGAACTTCGCAATCTAAAGAATGATTGGTTTTAAAAATAAAGCATGTGAAACACAAAAGTTTGCATATCAGCACAAGATGCGCGAATTTTTCAATTCAACCAAAACATTTTATGGGTCGGTCATTCGTGGCGCAGCTCCCCTCCACTTATCCGAGATATATATATATATATATATATATATATATATATATATATATATATATATATATATATATATTTGATAAAATCACACGGAAAATGGAAACAACGGAGCACCTTAGCTTTGTCTTTATTCAATAACGACAAAGCTAAGGTGCTCGTTATATTATCATTTTTTCATTGTGGATTTATGATATATATATATATATATATATATATATATATATATATATATATATATATATATATATATATATATATATATATATATATATATACACCTCTTATCACCACTGACCTGCCATTTTAGTTCAAGCGACTTCAGTTCCCGGTTAAAGTGAGCTTTGCCATGACTATCTACAAAAGCCAGGGACAGTCCATAAAGATGGTTGGCCTAAACTTGGTGTTTCCTTGCCTCTCTCATGGACAGTTCTATGTTGCATGCTCCAGAGTGGGAACTGGCAAAAAACTGTACATACTTGCTGCTAATGGCTAAACCAAAAATGTGATCTACCTTAATGCACTACAGTGAGACAATGTGGAGCCTCCCGGAAGGTGGCGTCCTATATACAGTATATATATATATATATATATATATATATATATATATATATATATATATATATATATATATATATATATATATATATATATACACTAGTGGAATCGTCGCCCTCTCAGACGTTTAAACAATATTACTTTTCTGATTACTTCTCGGTGTGTATGCTGTTGATGTTACTTGTTAAGTAAACTGTGGCTGGTGTATTTCACTGTGTTCAAATCTGTTGTGAATTCGTGTTTGTAATTATTGAACTTTCTGTATAAGAAAAAATATTTATATACAACCTCGTTTCATATTCGTTCATCTCTTTAGTTAACTTTATTTGTGGTAAGTAACACTGATATTTGTCTGATCTTGGCTACCTTTGGCCTAACCGATATATATTTTACGTGTTTTTTGGGGGGGGAATCGGTTAATTTGCAAAATGACCGGTATGCATATTGGTAATTTTGCATAGTAACTTACTAACAGACAACCTAAACTAACGTAACCTTATCGTTAGGATAGTTTAGGTTGTTGCACATGTGGAGGACTACATCAAGTGCGGGAGGGGCGATGGCAGCGTCTTTCCCAGCGTTGGCGCTTGTCTGCCTCGTTGTGCAGTCGGGCTATCTCAAAAGTATTGACATTTTCTCGTTGTGGTGCTCCTCCAAGCGTTACGGTATGGAGTAATCGACTCCCAGGTGAGGGGGTCGATCTGGCACTTTTTCAGGTAACGCCCTCCGGCGTTACGTTTACTATTCGTTAGGCGACTGTAAATTAGCTGCCTTAGCAGTCTACTGTCGTCCACGTGGGTAACATGGCCAGTCCAGCATAGCTGTTTGTGGATAATGGTAGCCTCGATGCTCCTACAGTTGGTGTCAGCAAGGATGCTGGCATTTGTTCTCTTGTGTTCCCAGCGAAAACGGGGGATGGATTGTAGACTACGTTGGTGAAAGTATTCAAGTGCCTTGAGGTGCCTCCTGTATGAAACCCATGCCTCGCTGCCACATAGAAGGGTGGGGAGGACCACTGCCCGATATACGTGTAATATTGTAGATAATTTCAGTCCCTACAGCTAAAGACATGGTTTCGGAGTCTGCCAAATGTTTGAAATGTACTTCTGTTCTGATGCTGAATCTCTTCATCGATGTCTGCGGTGGTGGACAGGTGGGAGCCGAGATACCGAAAGTGGGTAACACTACAGAGGGTAGTACTTTACCACCATCACCCGTAACATGCTTCACACATATGCTCAGAGCACACCCATACTTTAAGGTATTACAGCCGTTCATCAACCTTGAAGAAGAACCCCTGCGTCCCACATGTGCAATCAACCATGAGGAGCGTTGATTACACACCTGGACTTGGTTAATTCGATCACATTCACCCAATACTGGGGAGATAAACGTCTCTGTGTACCCAATAGACTCCTGATCTCAGTGTGTGACCTTTCATTCACTCAGGCTGCACTCAGTTTACTCTCAGTACTCCATGGACAGGAAGAGAGTGACCGTCAACAGGTGAACCCTGCCCAGCTGAGGGAGGGGTTCTATTATCCCGTTAGTAAGAGTTTTCACTAACTGACTGAAGAGATGTGGTGTTGTATGAACCAAGGTGGGGAGATTTGATGACCCAAAACGACCACCGACCAAGTGCGGCCGCTGTTCCCACATAGTTAGTCGTCAGGAACACTCGTTCACCTCGTGCGTGGCCGGTTATACGACCGCTAAACACCCGTTAACCGACCGCTAAACCGACAGACCGAATGGGTTCTCAAAAACCCTGCAAGAGAACACTCTGTTAGCTATAGTTAATTTCTTCTCCGCCCTATCTAAACACTGTCTGAGATCGAATAAAACTTACTTGCAACACTGATGAATCGTGGGCGAGAAGGGACGAGGCCACTTGGTCGTTTTCCTTGCCAGAGACACATGGATGACGTCTGCTTGGCCCAGACACCTGCGCGCTATTGAGCTCCAGCCCGCCTCACGTCTCCCCAAGGCGTTCGCCTGGCCTAGTGACGTCATCTTTTTGCGTAACTTATAGTTTCTATGGGACACACGTAACATATTTAGACTGAGAAACGATCTACAATAAATTTAATAATTGTCCCTTGACTTCATGAATCGTGTCTACTTTAATTCGATAAAGCACAGTTAGTTTTATATAGGCCTAGTTCAAAATGTTTCCACCGCGCTTGATGGCGTTGCTTGAGCTTATTTGACTCGCCATGAGGCGTGGGTGTTTCAGCCTGGTCTACTGATGCTTTTCTGTTTCGGCAGATTGGTTATTTTTGTTCTAACGTCTCTAAATATCACACCAAAGTTTCTGGATATTACAATCGACTCCCCTAAAAAGAGACAGCACTGTCCTCATGTGCTGAGAGAAAAAAGTATACATGCAACCCCCCACCAGAGGAGACCCTGCTCTAATAACTGCATCTCACACCTGCAACATGCTTAAAGCAGCATTTCCGTCTTCCAACTTCCGGCACCCATGATCATGCTAGTATTCCTTTTTTCCTCTCTGATATATATATATATATATATATATATATATATATATATATATATATATATATATATATATATATATATATATATATATATATATATATATATATATATATATATATATATATATATATATATATATATATATATATATATATATATATATATATATATATGCAAGTAAATCACTGTGGGTGCGCGTGATCCAGGTATATGCTGATAACCACAAGGAAAGAAGAAAACACGAAGTTCCCAAGCGCTTTCGTGTAATTCACATCTTCAGGGGTAAACATTCATACTCAAGCTAGCAAGCTGAAGTGTACTTCCTGTAAGCAAGAACACGCCTCCTTTGACATGCACTGCCCATCTTGGAAGAATGAGAAGAATAGTGAGTCATACCAATTTAGCACTAAAAATGGTAGGATTATATAAGTAAAGAATGATTATGAACAACAATGGCACCAAATAAACTGTTTTAATTCAATAAATAAGGAAATAATTAATAAAGGATGTGTACAAATATTTCACCCACGTAAAGCAGCGACCACATGAATTTTTAAACAAAATAAGTAACACCAATTACGGAGTATGTTATGCTTGAGTCAAGCTCAAACACAATATATGGTTCAGAGACAATACACTCCTCTATTTTCGTGATGGTATCCCAGGCCACACTGAGATCATTCGGACCTATCACCACTTGCAAAGGGATGACACACGGACACGTACTGAACAAGTCAGTTCAGCAGCTCGGTCCAGCGTCTGTCACACAGACAGGGACTGGACCTGTGAAATCTTAAATAATCCGTAAAATTTAAAAAAAATTAAAATAGCACCAGAGAATGTAAATATTAAAATTGTACTGTCGTTATGATTAAACAAAATGGCAAAAAAAGAATGAAAATTCTCTTCTGCCAAGTCAAAATATGTAATACAAGTTTTGTTTAATTCAGATTCCCAACAATATTTGGAGGCGTACAATTTATAACAGCTCACCATGGCTCCCTTGGGGGCCATGGGCCCCAGGTTGAGAACCACTGGTCTAAACAGTGCTCATATTCCCTGCCAACCAATATATATAATTACCATATAAATTTAATTTACTTGGAGAACTTCCATGTTCCAAACAACATCACTTGATCATCTTCTGGAGTAAGAAAGGCATCAGGGATATTACATATTCATTTTTTTCCCTTTACAAATAACAACTGACCTCAACCTATCTCTATCTACAGGTTTTGTCCGAGACGTAACTGGCAGCTATGCCATCAGCATTTGGGTGTTGGCCGCCATGATATTCCTTTGTTTTATTCTGTGGCTCTTCATGCCAGCGGCTGTTGCCTACGACAACAAAAGAAGCCAGAAGGAACGTAAGCAGGAACCTTCAGACGCTTGAAGCAGTGTATGCAGTAACCTGGGGACGACTGAAGGAACGTAAATATGATCCTTGAGACAACTGAACGAACGTAAGCATGATCCTTGAGACGACTGAAGGAAGGAAAAACACATTCCTTGAGACGACTGAAGGAGCGTAAACATGATCCTTGAGACAACTGGAGGAGCGTAAACATGATCCTTGAGACGACTGAAGGAGCGTAAACATGATCCTTGAGACGACTGAAGGAGCATAAACATGATCCTTGAGCGACTTAAGGAGCGTAAACATGATCCTTGAGACAACTGGAGGAGCGTAAACATGATCCTTGAGACGACTGAAGGACCGTAAACAATGATCCTTGAGACAACTGAAGGAGCGTAAACATGATCCTTGAGACAACTAGAGGAGCGTAAACATGATCCTTGAGCGACTTAAGGAGTGTAAATATGATCCTTGAGACGACTGAAGGACCGTAAACATGATCCTTGAGACGACTGAAGGAGCGTAAACATGATCCTTGAGATGACTGAAGGAGCGAAAACATGATCCTTGAGACGACTGAAGGAGCGTAAACATGATCCTTGAACGACTTAAGGAGTGTAAACATGATCCTTGAGACGCCTGAAGGACCGTAAACATTATCCTAGAGACGACTGAAGGAGCGTAAACATGATCCTTGAGACGACTGAAGGAGCGTAAACATGATCCTTGAGACGACTGAAGGAGCGTAAACATGATCCTTGAGCGACTTAAGGAGTGTAAACATGATCTTTGAGACGACTGAAGGAGCACAAACATGATCCTTGAGCGACTAAAGGAGTGTAAACATGATCCTTGAGATGACTGAAGGAGCATAAACAAGATCCTTGAGACGACTGAAGGAACGTAAACATGATCCTTGAGCGACTTAAGGAGCGTAAACATGATCCTTGAGACGACTGAAGTAGCGTAAACATGATCCTTGAGATGACTGAAGGAGCGTAAACATGATCCTTGAGACGACTGAAGGAGCGTAAACATGATCCTTGAGCGACTTAAGGAGGGTAAACATGATCCTTGAGACGACTGAAGGCGTGTAAACATGATCTTTGAGAAGACTGAAGGAGCATAAACATGATCCTTGAGCGACTTAAGGGGTGTAAACATGATCCTTGAGACGACTGAAGGAGCGTAAACATGATCCTTGAGCGACTTAAGGAGTGTAAACATGATCCTTGAGACGACTGAAGGAGCGCAAACATGATCCTTGAGCGACTTAAGGAGGGTAAACATGATCCTTGAGACGACTGAAGGCGTGTAAACATGATCTTTGAGAAGACTGAAGGAGCATAAACATGATCCTTGAGCGACTTAAGGGGTGTAAACATGATCCTTGAGACGACTGAAGGAGCGTAAACATGATCCTTGAGCGACTTAAGGAGTGTAAACATGATCCTTGAGACGACTGAAGGAGCGCAAACATGATCCTTGAGCGACTTAAGGAGGGTAAACATGATCCTTGAGACGACTGAAGGCGTGTAAACATGATCTTTGAGAAGACTGAAGGAGCATAAACATGATCCTTGAGCGACTTATGGGGTGTAAACATGATCCTTGAGACGACTGAAGGAGCGTAAACATGATCCTTGAGCGACTTAAGGAGTGTAAACATGATCCTTGAGACGACTGAAGGAGCGTAAACATGATCCTTGAGCGACTTAAGGAGTGTAAACATGATCCTCGAGACGACTGAAGGAGCGTAAATATGATCCTTGAGACAACTGGAGGAGCGTAAACATGATCCTTGAGACGACTGAAGGAGCATAAACATGATCCTTGAGATGACTGAAGGAGCGTAAACATGATCCTTGAGACGACTGAAGGAGCGTAAACATGATCCTTGAGACGACTGAAGGAGCGTAAACATGATCCTTGAGACGACTGAAGGAGCGTAAACATGATCCTTGAGACGACTGAAGGAGCGTAAACATGATCCTTGAGACAACTGGAGGAGCATAAACATGATCCTTGAGACAACTGGAGGAGCGTAAACATGATCCTTGACACGACTGGAGGACCGTAAACATGATCCTTGAGACAACTGGAGGAGCATAAACATGATCCTTGAGCGTCTTAAGAAGTGTAAACATGATCCTTGACACGACTGGAGGACCGTAAACATGATCCTTGAGACAACTGGAGGAGCATAAACATGATCCTTGAGCGACTTAAGGAGTGTAAACATGATCCTTGAGACGACTGAAGGACCGTAAACATGATCCTTGAGACGACTGAAGGAGCGTAAATATTATCCTTAAGACAACTGGAGGAGCGTAAACATGATCCTTGAGACAACTGGAGGAGCGTAAACATGATCCTTAAGACAACTGGAGGAGCGTAAACATGATCCTTGAGCGACTTAAGGAGCGTAAACATGATCCTTGACACGACTGGTGGACCGTAAACATGATCCTTGAGCGACTTAAGGAGCGTAAACATGATCCTTGACACGACTAAAGAAAGATCTGGCCTAGTTCCAAAATCTCGTTACTACAAATATCGTCCTTCAATGAATATATTGTCATAAATTTTCCATAAGTTTTGAGATAAAATTTGTCTATAATATATCTGAAAATTTTTATTAGATAAAGATGGGTGAGTCGCTTTAACTTGGTCGAGGAGACATATTGTTGTGTAATTCAGCTTTTTAACTCTTGTTAGAAATTTGTTTATTTTTGTGTAAAGTAGAGAATTTTGGGAATGATTAGAAGTCACTAGTGGTGATCAATAGTGTGTAATGGGGGAGACGTTTGGGTGATCAATAGTGTGTAATGGGAGAGAAAGTTTGGGTGATCAATAGTGTGTAATGGGAGAGAAAGTTTGGGTGATCAATAGTGTGTAATGGGGGAGAAAGTTTGGGTGATCAATAGTGTGTAGGGAGAGAAAGTTTGGGTGATCAATAGTGTGTAATGGGGGAGAAAGTTTGGGTGATCAATAGTGTGTAATGGGGAGAAAGTTTGGGTGATCAATAGTGTGTAATGGGGGAGAAAGTTTGGGTGATCAATAGTGTGTAATGGGAGAGAAAGTTTGGGTGATCAATAGTGTGTAGGAGAGAAAGTTTGGGTGATCAATAGTGTGTAGGGAGAGAAAGTTTGGGTGATCAATAGTGTGTAATGGGGGAGAAAGTTTGGGTGATCAATAGTGTGTAATGGGAGAGAAAGTTTGGGTGATCAATAGTGTGTAATGGGAGAAAGTTTGGGTGATCAATAGTGTGTAGGGAGAAAGTTTGGGTGATCAATAGTGTGTAATGGGATCAATAGAATGGGGAGAAAGTTTGGGTGATCAATAGTGTGTAATGGGGGAGAAAGTTTGGGTGATCAATAGTGTGTAATGGGAGAGAAAGTTTGGGTGATCAATAGGGTGTAATGGGAGAGAAAGTTTGGGTGATCAATAGTGTGTAGGGAGAGAAAGTTTGGGTGATCAATAGTGTGTAATGGGGGAGAAAGTTTGGGTGATCAATAGGGTGTAATGGGAGAGAAAGTTTGGGTGATCAATAGTGTGTAATGGGGGAGAAATATTGGGTGATCAATAGTGTGTAATGGGGGAGAAATATTGGGTGATCAATAGTGTGTAATGGGGGAGAAAGTTTGGGTGATCAATAGTGTGTAATGGGGGTGAAAGTTAGGGTGATCAATAGTGTGTAATGGGGGAGAAAGCATGGGTGATCAATGTATGTATATTATGTATGCTGTATGTATATTATGTATGTATATTATGTATGTGCTCTATTTATATACACTATTTATTCAGCGTGTGGCAATGTATTTACCATGTCCCACACGCTTAATTAATGTGCCTGGCGACATATGGAAGCTGTTAATGTATCAGTTGCCACATGTCGCCTAAAGGCTAGTTGACCCCCATACAGAGTAAGGAGCGCCACCTCCCTTGTGTACATATTTGTTTATCCAATAAATAGAACCTACGAAAACTCTATAGGTGTTTGTGTTCACTCCAGTAGATAGAACTTGATACCCAGAACACATGCATGGCGCAGTGTGTCATTATACTGGACCATTATACAAGTGAAGTGTAAAGTTTGTGGCAAGACCGGCTTATGGACCCCTGCTCTGTGTCAACCACCGCTAATGGCGCTAATGGCCGTCTCTTCAAAGAATTTATAGCAACTTTGAGCAGTGTCAGTGACAGTGATTTTCTGTGAAGTGTATAGTACATTGTGTGTTTAGTGCCATAACTGTGTGACCTTGTTCTCAAGGATTCCCAAGGTGTAAGGCATGTTCAGGGCATATGTGAGGAGTAGAGTTCATTACAGCCTCCTTTGACGTGTCCAGAGGGTGACTGACTGTGATCGCCTCCTCTCCCTCACAGCGAGACACTGCCCGAGACGCGCACAGACACACACACACACGTACGAACACACTGACTGCGGCCATTCCTTTATAAATATTTTATATATATATAATCTACTTATCTGTGCATTTAATTAATTTTTTGTCTCAGATCTTGTTGATACGACGGGCTGACCGGTCAACACTGATTTAAGACACAGTACACAGATTAAGTTATTATGTCTCGTGCCTTACGCAGTCGTGGAGCCAACGCCTGCATGAGTCAGTCGGATGACAGCTCGGCAGAGATGGATGACCAGGCTGAACAGGACGCTGCAGCTCCCACCACATAGCGCAGCCCTTCACCTCGATCTCCAGCGTTGTCTTCAGAGATAATTGCTTTAATGAAGTTTATGAGGGATGAAAGGCGTCACGACTTTGCTACAAGACGTGTGGAGGACGAAGAAAGAAGGCGAGCAGAGGCAGAGAGAGACCACCAACGGAGATTGGAAGACAGTGCACGGTTTGAAGCTTTGATATCTCGCCTCACTGTTAACCAAGCCCCTGGCTCTAACACTGCCTCGGTATTGACTGGTTCAGATACCTCATCAACGCTTTCTTCACGCCCCCCAGCCCCACCTAAAGCGGCTGCTCAAACACCGCCCATCTTGAAGCCTGATGTGAATTTCCAGACTTTTCGTGAATGGCGGCGATGGTGGACTGATTATGCTACAATGGTGGATCTCCAGAGTTTGCCACAGCCTAAACAACTTATCCAGCTGCGTATGTGCCTGTCATTGGAAACTCAGCGTGTCTTGGAACATACGTTGCAGGTATCTCCGCCCTCTTCTTTGTCTGTAGAAGAGGTACTGGATATTCTACAACGGCACATCAAAGGGCAGCGGAATGAAGCTCTACGCAGGAGGGAATTGTTTAGCTGCAGACAGATGGAGGGCGAGACTTTTGATGCCTTTTATGTACGACTCAAGAGAGCCTCGGAAGAGGTAGATATATGCCCAGGTAACCACCAGCAGTGCGAGGAGACCCACTTGAAGCATGTGATCCTGATGGGTGTTAAGGACGAGGAGCTTGTCCAACGCCTCATCTCCCTCGACTCTTCCTCTTCTCTTAAGGATGTGTTGACGATATGTCGCTCCTATGAGGCTGCCAGGTGTGCCACCTCTGCCATCCGAGCTCCCCCTACAGTTGTACGCGCTGTGTTCCGGTACAAGAAGGACAAGAAGTCTACTCCAACGCCTTCGCCCACTACGCCCACGCCCGGTTCTTTTTGTAACAACTGTGGTAAGCAGCACGGAACACAGGTGTGTCCAGCTGCTGAGTCTACCTGCAACAGTTGTGACCGTAAGGGCCACTGGTCACTCACAGTACGGTGCCCAGCCAAACGCGTCCAGTGCAATGTGTGCGGTCGTTTGGGCCACTACGACAAGTGTTGCCCTACCAACAAACCCAAGGGACAACGTCGGCGGAAGCTTCAGCGCCCTTCCACCAGTGAGGGCCGCCCACAGTCTTCCAATCAGAAGCATGACGACCCTGGACAACGCTCGAGCCATATTAGGAATGTGTGCTCCCCTTCGCGTCCCAGGACCAAAGTTCCCCAGCACATCAGCGTCATCGTGACCTACGGCAGTGTGTCATCCCGTCTTCACATGTTGCCCGACACCGGCGCTGATGCTACAATCATTGGTCTCCAGCATTTGCAATGTTTGGGGCTCTCTCCAAGTGATCTAGGACCACCACCCAAGGATCTCCGCTTCACGGCAGATGGTTTACAGATGGCCCCAGCCCTAGGTTCACTCCAAGCACAGGTCACCTTTGGAAACAGGCCGTGTCAAGCCTGGATTGATGTGCATAACGGTGTCCCGACTCCTTTGCTGTCCTACAGACATTGTCAAGAGTTGGCCATCATCTCCCAGGGCTTCCCCAAACCTATTCTCAAGGTAAAACACGCCAACAGGGTGCACGAAGGGAGCAGCAACTACCCTGCTGCCGCCCTACCTCTTGCCAGTGACACCTCTCCTTCGGATGCTCGGAAGTACTTCCTGAAGGAATTCAGCGACGTTCTGGTGACCAAGTCCGCTCTGGAATTCAAGCCTCTCAAGAAGATGGTAGGCCCCCGATTAGGATCCACCTGAGGGACGACGCGAAGCCCTTCGCTATCTACACCCCTCGACTGGTCCCCCTGGCCTTCCACGAGGCGGTCAAAAACGAGCTGGACTCCATGGTCGCCCAAGAAATTATTGCACCAGCCGGCGATGACCCGTCTCCATGGTGTCACCCTATGGTTGTCGTCGCAAAACCCAAAGGTGGTGTTCGGATCACCACTGACCTCTCCAAGCTCAACAGCCAGGTGTCTCGTCCTGCGCACCCTTCTCCCACGCCCTTTGTAGCTATACGCAGTGTGAACCCGAAGGCGCGCTTCTTCACGACAATGGACGCCCTGTGTGGATACTGGCAGATAGAGCTTGCCGAAGAAGACCGACCACTTACAACTTTCATTACCCCACATGGACGTTACAGTTATTGCCGTGGCCCCATGGGATTCGCCGCTACAGGAGACGCTTTCTGTCTTCGAGGTGATATGGCTCTACAAGGTCTGGCAAACTGCGTGAAAGTGGTCGACGACATACTCGTGCATGATGAGGATTACATGGATCACCTCTGCCGTATCTACGAGGTACTCAACAGGTGCCGGAAGCACGGCATCACCCTAAATGCCGACAAGTTTGTTCTGGCCAGCTCTTCAGTGGACTTTTGTGGGTACACCCTCTCAGGGAATGGTATTGTAGCTGACCCGGAGAAGGTCCGCGCCATCACGGATTTTCCCACCCCTGCTAACCTCACCGACTTGAGGTCCTTCATCGGTCTCGTCAACCGGTTAGCAGAGTTTTCGCCGGACATCTCCGCAGCTGCCCAACCACTTCGCCCCCTCATGAGCCCCAAGAGGACATTCCTGTGGACCCCCGACCACGACAAGGCCTTCCAGCAAGTGAAACAGGCCCTGTCTAGTCCACCTGTCCTCGCCACGTTTGACCCAGCCTTGCCGACGGTTCTGCAGACAGATGCCTCACGCTTGTACGGCGTGGGATACGCTCTATTGCAGGATCATGGTGGAGGGCAGTTCCGGCTCGTCCAGTGTGGCTCGCGTTTCCTCTCTGACACCTTCAATCCTTCTCCAAGGAGTGGCAGGCCAAGACAAAAGATTGTGATCGCCAAGCCGCCGAACGTGTTCAAGACGTCGTCGCCCGCTACAATGACCACGTCCGTCCTCTTCCCAAGTTGAGTGTCGGCACCCAAGTCCGTGTTCAGGACCCGACCTCCCTACGTTGGGACAAAGTGGGCGTAGTCATGGGTCTCGGTAGGTCGCGGGACTACCAGGTGCGGTTACCCAGTGGTCGTGTGTGGTGGAGGAACCACCGTTTTCTCCGCCCCGTAACAACGCCTTCTGCTGACCCAGCCACCAGTGTTGAGTCCCATACCCTTCCCAGTGATCAAGTTCCTCGATGCTCAGAACGGATCCAAAAGAGGTCCGCTCAAGACTTTGCTATGAGCGTATAGGGGGGGAGGGAGGTGAATGTATATTATGTATGCTGTATGTATATTATGTATGTATATTATGTATGTGCTCCATTTATGTACACTATTTATTCAGCCTAGCTAGCAGCGTGTGGCAATGTATTTACCATGTCCCACATGCTTAATTAATGTGCCTGGCGACATATGGGAGCTGTTAATGTATCAGTTGCCACATGTCGCCAAGAGGCTAGTTGACCCCCATACAGAGTAAGGAGCGCCACCTCCCTTGTGTACATATTTGTTTATCCAGTAAATAGAACCTACGAAAACTCTACAGGTGTTTGTGTTCGCTCCTGTAGATAG